AAACATAAGCCTCGAATATTATAAATGTTGCCAGAGATAGATGATAAACGGGTCCGTCAGTAATTTAATTATTATTACTCAATGATATGCTTCAAGGCTATTCGAAGAGTATGAAAATTGAATACTCATTATGTACTTTTGCGACGTAACTTTGACTGGGACAAAAAGTATCATTAAAATTGTATTGTAACTAATTAGAGTGAAAATACGACAGAATTCATTTTTTAAATGCACAGAATGCTATTCATTTACACATCTTGATTAAATAATTTAATTGTTGATAGAAATTTCTATTACAGTAAGAAATAATAGGTCGTACAATAATTACAAGTGGAATGCTAAACATCTGTAACATTAATGCAGTATTGTTCCCGAAAAATCATAAGTAGAATGTTTACATTAACTTTTTTTTTTAATAATGTACTACTTACCATTTTTGAAGTTGAACTTCATTATTAATGAGAGAAGTATGTCCAGATTATAGTCAATTAATGGTTACAACTGCCCTTCTACTGAGCTTAAGTTCATCAAACCAATAGTGAGTTGAGTTACTAGAATAGTGTGCAAAAAAGGATTTACCTTTACCTTCATTCACAAATTTCCGAAGACCTCATTGCAGGAAGTCTTTTGTCATGTTGGATCTCCAGGCTGTTTTAAAGTCATTTAAAGGAAGTAGAACCTGTAAGTTTCTATCGGTATTTATAGAGTCTTTAGCAACTGAGTAAATCGGTTCATTCCATTCAAGACTTACATGGGCTGTGACCGACCACAGTTTAACATGTTTCCTCCCTAGTTCAAGTTCGTAAATTATGTTTTTGATATGCATGATATGATATGAGCTTTTTCCGAATTTTAGATTGAAATTGTGTGCTTTTAAAACACTTCTCGAGTCCGAGGAAATGCCAAACTTGGTGTAGGATAAAACAGTGGTCAGTGAAAAGGTTTCAACTAATGTTGAAGCCTCTGCTGTAAAGACTGAAGCAAAAGAGGGAGTACGTCATTTAAAAATGGATTCATTATTTTCTCTGCCAGCCGCAAAACCAACGAAGGGTCTATCTGGTATCTTAGAGCCATTAGTGAGATACGATTGAATAGCGAGTGGAATCTTCTATTTTTATCCTTAGATGCTTCAATAATTTGACTTTCTTCGAAGGAGACTTCAGGTGAAAAGAAGATTGTTTCAAATGTGAAATTATTGAATTCTCCCAAGAAGCAGAAAGTTCTTGGAGAATTGGAAGTAAGAGATGATTATTACATGTGAAGACCCTAGAGATGAAATTTATACCCAGATATTTGAACCTCGACCTAAAAGGGGGTTCTTTGGCCTCAGTGATAATAGCATTGATTGGTGTTGATATCCTCTACCCTAAAGCTAATTTTAAGGCTTTATGTTGGATACGATCTAATCTTTTCATATATCCATCAGGTACATCCTGGAACAGAAAGACACCATATTCAATTCTTGAACGAATTAAGATCTTGTATAACCTTAACAGAAGGGAGAGATTAGTGTCCCATTAAGTACCTCTTAAACAGCTTATTAATGCTAAAGGATTTTTGCATTTGGCCCAGAAAGCATCAATCTGAGGAACTCAATTCAAAAGTTCTTTCAGAATTAATCACAGAAATTTGACGGAGTTAGTGAAGGAGATAACTTAGCCATTGATCGTAATTTCTTCTTAATTTCGTAAGGTTCTTTGTTCTGTTGAAAATTACCCAGCTACTTTTTTCAGGTGAAATTTTAAGATCAAATTCATTCAAAAAAGCGTTACAATCATTGACAGACTTTTTAATGAGGATAGCGCTTTAGTAATATAGATATCTCTCACAAAAAAATAAGGGTCATCAGCATACCACAAAGTTTTCAAAGAAGAATGCTCTCTCTGACCTAGATTATTGACCTATAAGGAAAAAAGTAAGGGAATTAGTACACTTCCTTGGAAAAGACCCCGAAAACGCCAGGCCGATTTAGAAAAAGTACCATTTCTAAATTCTAAGTGTTCATGAGACTAAGTTATAGATAAAGCGTAGCGTAAGCTTCGAAATACCCAAGTCAGTGAGCCTGGAAATCAAAACATCTACTAGGAAGATATCAAATACACTCTTGATATCATTATGTATCACAACGCCACCTACAATTGTGAAAATTATTTTTCTAGAATTTAAATACATAATGAATTTTAAAATTGAACTTTTGAAAATTTTATGAATGATAAGAAAATTTATTATTTAAAAATATACTCAAGTAATGTGCAGTGTATTCTACTATTGCAAACCTTCTTATAACGTTTAGTCTTTTTTATTATGTTAATTCATAAGTTCAATAATAAAATCTCATAGATAAATTGGCAATAATCAATAAATCCAAAAACCTCAACAAGTTAGTTGGAAGAAAATAATCCAATACTACCATCAATATAGACATCTTCCAATGGTTTAGAGGTCAAGTCATATCTTAGATTGAAACAATCTACTTCAATTAAAAGATTACCTAAAAAAATAGTTTAATTCTTTATGTCGAGACTTCCACATTTCTCTTCTTTAAAAATTAACATCAATATAAACAAAAAAAAAGGATTTACTGGATACATTAACGAGCCCTTTTAACAGTAAATTTACCCTTTTATTGAAGTTAAGTTACAAATGTTGTAAATGTATGGGAGCCTACTCTTTTTGTTTATAACAATCCAATTTATGATAAACAATGAAGAACGGCATCTATCTATTATACTTGAACTCTTTCAACGGTAAATGTTTTTTTTTACTGAAATAAAGTTACAACCTATGTGGAATAAATATAAACCGACGTTTATTGCTTGTAAGAAATAATGTGTTGTGAAAGAGCAAAAATTGGATTTAAAGTATTTTCTTTCATTCTCAATACTAACTTAAAGATTCATTCATAACGAATTTATATAGTTATAAACAATATGTAATTGTTGAAAGTCATATTTGGTTGGAACAATAATGTTATGTCAATATCAGCTTAATTTGTAAACAAAATTGTTATTGTTTGGCCTAAAAGTATTTTTAATAGCCAATATTTTTATCCACTTATCATTTTTTTTTTTTGTGAAAAAAATAGCTCGGATTAATCGTTTAATCCTTGTCGACATTAGGATTTTCAAACAATTAGTCGATTGTAGTTATCAGATAAAAAGTATTCAGATACTAGCGCACAGAGAAAATAGTCATGACCATATTTCTAGAATTCTAGAAAACTTTACCAGAAACTCTTTGACTTATATGGATGATCGTTGAGTCAAGAAAAATTTACTAAAAATGTCTCATCAACACATACTCAAGGTTTACAATAAATTCTAGTAAAATTTACTTGACTAGAGAGTAATTTTTACAAATGTTGTAGCTAATTTAGTCAAATTTTTTAACAACATATTCGGGTTCTTACATTTAAATAATTAGCATTCAATGATTTTAGGACTCTTCGTCATCGTATCATTGTCATTTTTTATGCTTAGCGCATATTTTAGTACAGTCTAGAAAAAGGGGCTGTTTTTGATACGATTTCACAATATTTTGTACATATCAACTAGAATAAATATTAAAAAAATTGGTCTGATCACACTTTGTCTGTGCTAACACGTTGAACCTCCCATAAGTAATTGTTTATAACAAATTTAAATAGTTATAAACCATGCGTAATTTTTAAGAGTCATTATTCATCATTAGTAATATTATTTTGTTGAAAGCATCCAAATCGGTGTGATATATGCATTATTTCATCAATAAATACAATTTTCAATTGTTTATAACAAATTCGTATTCTTACAAACAATATGTGATTAGTAAAGGTCGTATTTGGTTGTGAACAATAATGTCTAGTCAATATTGACTTCATTTTAGAATAAAATTGTTATTCTTTCGTTTAAAAGTATTGTAAATCGTTAATCTTTTCATTCATTCATTATTAGTTTTTTTGTTATAAAAAAAACACCTTGAACGAATTTGTTCAAATTTCACTCAGATCTTCTTTGTAATTATATATTCCGAATAAATATTGGTTGAAGTCGATATCTTGATCTGTTCTTGAGATATCGAAAACGAAAAAAATTCTGACGTCCGTACATACGTACATACGTGTGTACACACACATAATAAAAAAATTGGTCAGTATGCTTGCTAATATCATGAAACGTGAAGATATGATAAAAATTCAAATTTCACAAATCGACCCAATTTCAATAACTTCCTTATGGGAAGTTAAATATAAAAATTTATTAAAAAAATATTTCTTTTATTTGTACATTCACGCTTAAGTAAGAATAACTTTCTACCAACTTTATAATCTGTTCGTGAGCAAGCTTCATAGCAATTAAAAACTCTTATTTTACCCCATTTTTGCACAACGAAATTTTTTCAATTTTACGTCATGAATGAAGCTACGAAAATACTCAATAGTATGCTTAATCGAAGGCCAACATTTGCTTAACGGCAAATTTTTGATTTTAGCCAATGATTGCGTTAGATGAGAGAAATTCGTTAGTTTTCAGAAGTATAACCTGCAAAAATTACCTTATAATTTGTATAGAGACACAGCAGTACCTCGTCGTGACGTAAGGTCAAGATGACAGTGATTTATGCTTGGTGTACGAGACACTACCGTATCTCTTGATTCTATTTATGATAGTTACGTATAACCATAAAAGTCTTCTTTGGTATAAAAAAACAATGAAAAATTTCTCATTGATTCTATAATTAATTGCATACAGAAATCTTTGCATTAAAAAAATGTGTAGCAATATATTTTTTGAAAAGAGTTGTCTGTAGCTATTAATGTCAAACAAGTAAGAATGGGTAAGTAAACGACAAAGAAAGAGAACACTGACTCGTTCTCAATGTTTATCAGGAATTCCCGAATATTTGGTACATAGAAAAAATATAAGAATAAAAAGAATTTTCATTTTACACACTGTTTTCCATTACTGTCACTTGAAAACTTAGTCTGCTTTTTTTTAATCACATTTTGTATAATTTTTCAGGAACAAGTTTCCAAAAAGGTGGAGTCACTGAAAATACAAATGCTGTCATTGGAATAACACGACAACGACTACTAGAACTGTCACATGGAATAGGTACATTACAACATTACAATAATTTAGCACATCATGTTCTTTCTTTAAATCGTCAAGGTGCTGTTGTTACCAAGCTGTTAGGTAATGTTAATTGATTTATTTTTACGCTGTGTAATAACACAAGTTGTCAATAGACTAGTTGAAAATAATATATAAAATTAAAAAAATGTATAAATCTAAAACATTAATAACGATGAGGGCACAACAAACATAAATACGATTGACCATTACATGTTATTATCGATAACAACAATAATACCGTAATTGTGAAGAAGCTATTTCACGTATCGCGTGTGCTCCCATGAAAAAAGTGCGTGTTAAGGTATAAATGACGTTACCAGTTAATAAGTATCTGCGCCTACAGCGAATTCTTTACTCATCGTCTGCTTCTTTAGTTTGTTTGTGATCTTTTTTTTTTTTAATATAATGTAAATGGTTACGTTCATGAAAACCTGAAGCATTTTTGAAATATGGAAATGTTGAGTTTGTTACAGACATCTTCAATTTGTCTGACACGTAAAATTTTGAGAAGTAAAAAAGTATTAGAAGTTACAGTAAAAAAAAAAAATTCATGCAAGATGCACTTTCGTACATTGTAATAATCGATTTTTATTAGATTTTAAATCATAATAATATCTTACAATTATATGTATCAATATATTTTGTAAGAATATTTTCACATTTGTAAAATTAAAGAACAATGGAAATTTATACGTTTAAATGTAAAAATGACAAGAAGTTTAATAACAGTTGATTTATAAAATTGGAATTAGCTCTTTTTATAATAACTCCAATCTGGTAAAATAGACATGGTTTGTTAGTAGCAACTATCACAATAAACTAAAATTTTTGATTTTAATGAAATTAAGTGTTCAACCACACGAAGAAAAATAATCAGAGCTACATTACTTGACTAATCAAGTAAACATATTCTAGAAAACGTCACTGGAATTCTAATTAATTTTTATTCGCAGTGTGAAACAGTTCTTATCATATCTGATAAATAGTATTAGAAAAATCAAGCAGAGTCAATTTAAGATTTTCTACTTTATTTCTTAATCACTTTCTCATGTTGTCTAGCAAAAATGACTGGATGGACGAAAATAATGAGAGCCTTATTAGTTGACTCGTCGATTTGAGTCATTCTAGAGAACGTTGCTAGAATTCTAGTAAAATTTTATTAGTAGTATGGAACAGTTTTCCATACTTTCTAATGAACAGTATTCGAATAACCATATTACCACAATTTTATATAAATAAAAATTTTGATTCTTTCCAATAGTTTCGGATAGCCAAGCGGGTGAAAGCGTCGGTTTAGTTAGTTTCGTGTGTACTAAGCGATCGTAGGTTCGAATCACCTCAATAGAATATTCTTTACTATCTTAAAATCTGCGTTTTCTGCAATCTTTAAACTGTAAATACGTGAAATTGGTGTTCAGCGTATACATATAGCGTCTAGCAAAATAATTTTTTATTTTCTTAATTATTTTTATAAATTGGTTTTTCGCATTTTCTGCGTAAACCGCCACAATTCTTACGATAGACAATTTAAAGAGTATAATATTTCTTAAACATCATAGTAGATGACACGTTACATAAATGAAATATACTGTTGATAATTTTACCGAATAATCAATTTTTTAATATGTTGTTGAAAAATTTGACTAAATTAGCTACAACATTTGTAAAAATTACTCTCTAGTCAAGTAAATTCTACTAGAATTTATTGTAAACCTTGAGTATGTGTTGATGAGACATTTTTAGTAAATTTTTCTTGACTCAACGATCATCCATATAAGTCAAAGAGTTTCTAGTAAAGTTTTCTAGAATTCTAGAAATATGGTCATGACTATTTTCTCTGTGCGCTAGTATCTGAATACTTTGTATACCGTGTTGTTCCAGTACAAACGTCATCATTCATCGTTAAGTGTAATTTATCACGGGGAAAAAAATTCATTTTTACCCGAGTAGAATTTATTTTTGGAAAGAGTTCGCACCCAATTCGAATTTCCTAAATTCAAGTTAGGCACCAAATGGGATACCACATTAGGTCCACATTGTGAATCTAACGCTTGTCCCTATTGGGACTAAGTGAGGGAAGCTTAATTAAGACAAGTTATATATAAAAACTAAATTGTTTGATTATCTCATTTTTTATGATTTTATATTGTTGAAATACTAATTATTAAACGTATCTTAATTAAATTTCTGCGAAAATAAATATGCTGAAATTTGTTCCTTGGGGGATTCGAACCTACGATCGCTAGCTTGATCGTATCTGAGACCAGTGTCTTTATCGGCTCAGCTATTTATTCAATTAAAAAATTATTGCCATTATACTTATATTAACGAATCTATATGTATAATTTTTTAAAAGATTCCTATAAATCATTATTTACTTTAAATCTCAATAATAAATAATTTTAATGGTTTAAATATTTTTATACTTCTAAATCATTTATTTTTTCTGAAACTACAATATATTTCTAGTCAACGTAATCCAGTAAAGCTTTAATAAAAACAATCAACTATTATTTAAAGAATAAAGGATATCTGAAAATATTTATATTATAAAAATACTTTGTTATTGGAATTTAAAGAAAATACTTAATATAATGTAGATCTTTTATATTGTAACAAATTTTTTTTTGAATTCATCCTGACAACTTTTTGATTCGTTCTTCAAACATTTTAATGAGGCTAATGTAATGTGCGCCTAATTTAGATGTAATTTTTGTTAGCCTAATGTGGACCTGATAAACATTTCCTAATAAATGACGAACTAAGACATCGTTTCTGTTAAGTTTACAAGGTTATAATTGAGAAGTTATAGGGTAGTGCGAAATTGGGCAAATTTTATTTCATCCTACAAACAAATTGATCAGGCATAAGTTGGGAATGCCTAATTTACGCTCACTTATTTAATTCCTAATAAGGGCCCAATAGGTTTTTAGGCATGCCTAAAATAAATTCTACTGAGGTAATTTCATGTTAAAATGTTCAATAATAATAATTAAATTTTAATTATTTCCAAATTTCGTCATTAATACAGTTAATTTCGAATATAATGATGACTCATAAAGAACAAAATCTATTATGCTTTTCTTATTCCATTATTTGGATTAACGTACATTACAAGTATTATAATAGATCACTAGAAATGAACCGATGCACTCATTGAGCCTGCCGCTGCAGTATTGTTTGATTTCGTGCTACAGTTGTTATTTTTATAGTGATAGGTATCATGAATTGAAAAATAAGTGTTAATAATTAGCAATTTTGATAGATTTCTTTATAATATGAGATTTTTGTACATATTGTTTATTTAAATATTGAAAACATTTATTAATGACTGGTATCCATTTCAAGAATAAAGAAAAATGATATTATATTAGGACAGCGTTTTCAATTATTGAATAGTTTATGTAAAAAACTCTTTAATGAATAATGACTTCACAGAAATTTAAACAAATCACTTTGGTATTTTTTGTTCACTATCACTTATACTAATATTGTTATTTATCTCTATAATTTGTTAAATTTGATTATTCGGAAAATATCATGCAGCATCCTTAACATTAGGTCTACTCGTCACACGGTTATAATGTGATGACATCATTGTATGCTATATGAATATCTAAATTTTAATAATAGTGAAATTTTCAATGGATAAAAAGGGTGTAATAAAATGTATACCTTATTTTGTGAACATTATGGAGATTTCTTAAAATAATTCATTTATGATGTAATGAATTGTTCAATATTTCGATAGTTATTCTACTCAGTATAACAACTAGGAGGGTAAAAAAGTTTCATATTTGTAAACAGTTGTATAAAAATGCTTCTCTAAAAAAAATTGGTCTGCTTAATTAGCGTAAAAAGACACTTTTAAGACTGTTACTTATATCTTAAACTAGATTTATAATTAGCTATGCATATAATTTTTCACGAACATTTATTTAATCCGAAAAACTTTTAATGAGTATAATGGTCAAAACTATTTGTCAAAATTTATTATTTTTTTTATTTTTTTTAACAAAATATTTCCAAAGTCGTATTTTTTTTTGAATTTATTGATTTCCTACAGAAATTGTTCTGATGTTTTCCACTTGAATAATATAAATCATATCTCGTGTCATGTAGTTCAATGACCTACAAGGAAAGTATCCCGACGTGTGACCTCCGATTTTTTTGTGGCTGATATATGTTATTCTACTTTAAATTTGTTCACCGTTTTAAGATCGGCACTATATTTATTGGAAACATAAATGACTGAAACAGTATCACAATATAAAGCGCAAGCACCTAATTTTTCTGAATAAGAGTATATTTTTAAACGGGCTTGAGCTGTTGTGTAGGCTACTATGACAACATTTGTAGTATGGTGTAACTCAAGAGTGTCTTCTTTCTGTACTTATGACACATGCAAAATATCATTATTAACGCAGTGTAAGCATGTAAAATCGATCCCGGGATTTGTCAGTAATTCCATAAGCGTAACACGATTATTTACTATTTCAGTTTGGGTAAGATTTTCACGCTGCCTAAATTTACCCCATAACGAATTTAGAAATAATTTTGCAACTGATCGCAAACCGGGATTATGTATTATTTTTTCCCTTTCTAATTTAATGCCTTCAGCTTTTTCATAATTTTCTAGATATAATTTTTGTTGAACAGGATTATTTTCACATTGTTTTGGCCAGCCACTTGCTTCTTGTTTAATTTTTAGGAAGGTGTTAATATTATCACACGCTCAGCTATATCATTATGATAACAGTTACCCTGATTAAGTCGATCACCCCGATTAGTGAGGTGATCGACCTGACGGAAAGTGTTGATCAGTATCGATTATAAATACATTAAAATAAATATAAGAAAATATAAATGTGAGTGCTCAGGCACCACATATATACCCTGTTGAACGTATTCTATTTGTAGTAGCCCGTGTTAATTCTAAACATTGATCAAATGTTTCGCCTGGACGACGTTGTTGATCTCTATTTACGTGATAACATATTTGTATATCCATGCCAATTACACCCATGGAAATACAATCCAATTTTTTCTTGACTTTCTGG